ATTCTAGTGGGTGGTTGGCAGGTGCTCGGGTGTTGCTTGCTCCTTCTTTCCTATCACTCGTGTGTTGTCCTTATCTCTCCTCCTTCTTTTGGTGTTTGTTACTCTCGTATAAGTGGGTGGTTGGTGGGTGCTCTGGTGTGGTTTGCTCCTTCTTTCCTATCAAACATCTATCGTCCTTATCTCTCCTCCTTTTTTGTGTATGTTACTCTCTTGTAACAAATCTATTCTTTGGCACTCATATGACCTTATTGTGTTGCAACTCACTAAAACTTTTTTTTTAAAACAAACTCGTGGAACGCGTGTGGTTGGCGGGTGCTCTGGGGTAGTTTATTAGTCTTTTTGCTCCTTCTTTCCTATCAAACATCTATCGTCCTGATTTCTCCTCCTTCTTTCTTGCGTTTGGACTCTATTGCAACACCTCTAATCTTCGTCATTTAATGTGACCTATTTGTGTTTCATGTTGGTGGTTGGTGGGTGCTCTGGTGTAGTTTGCTCCTTTTCCCCTACAAAACATCCTACCTCTCATCCTTTGCGTTTGTCACTCTCTTGTAATCTTCGGCACATATAATATAACCTTGTTGCATTACAAGTGCCGTAGAACTTATGCGTAAACAAGAGAAAAACAAGCAGATGCCGTGAAACTATTATCAAATGCAAACATTTTTTAAATACTATTATTATTATTATTATTATTATTATTATTATTATTATTATTATTATTATTATTATAATATTAAGTTTCTCTTTAATCTTTACCCAAACAAAACAGAACAAATGTGTGGGTTTTTTTCCTTGTACAGGTTCAGAAATTCGAGGAGGAAAAGAGGTTCGGCGGATCTGGTACATCGGAGGATGGCAAGGAGAACGTGTGTGTGAGTAGCATTGCCTCGTCCTACAACGCACGTGTCTGCTTATCTTGATAGATTAGCAATGGCTTTTGAGAACTGTTCTTTTGTCTGTCTGGCTGGCTTGCTGTCTGTCTGTGTATCTGTCTGTCTTTGCCTCGTCGGACAATGTACGTGTCTGATTATATTGATAGACTAACGGCGGCTTTTGAGAATTGTTGTTTTGTCTGTCTGTCTGTATGTCTGTCTGTCTGTCTGGCTGGCTGGTTGGCGGGCTGGCAGGTTGTCTGTCTGTCTGTCTGTCTGTCTGTCTGACTGTCTGTGAGTCTGTCTGTCTGTCTTTGTCTCATCTCACAACGCACGTGTCTGCTTATCGAACGCGGGACCTATCCTATTGAATGAGAGGCGAACACCGTAACCTCTCGACCACGGGAGCCCCCGGAGTAGTGGAGCGCAGAATCTAGATACAAAACCGGATACAATGTAAATTTATTCGAATTCAGACTCTTTAACTCTCAATCCTATCAAAAACACCCATCTTCCTTAAATTGTCTCTCCTTCTTCTTCTTCTTAAAACATTTTTTTTTTTTTACTTTCTCGCAACACCTTTAATACCCAACACTTATTTGACCTTCTTGTGCTGCAAGTGCCGTGAAACTTTTAACTAAAACTCAGAAGCCGGGATGGGGTGTGTTAATGTTGTCCTCTCTTCCACCAGGATACGCCGAGCAAGAAGTCCGGCACTGGCAAGAAGAAAAAAGGCGGGAAACCCACCAAGTCGCTCTCCACGCTGTCAGCAGGTAATGTAACGTCTGCTAGCTGGTCAGTGTGCATGTACTAGTGGCTGTACGTTCTTACTTCTGAGCGTCTAGATTAGTGGCCATTGCTCTCTCTCTCTCTCTCTCTCTCTCTCTCTCTCTC